TTATTATCAATTCACATCAAATAATGATAATAATAATTTAAATAATGGCTAGTGTCATTGATCATTGGTCATTGGTCATTCTTCGATGATGACCACAACAGCAAAAAATACTGATAAATATACCAAAAAGGTGTGATTTTCATCATCATGATGAAAAAAATGATGTTTCAATCGAATATCTATCGAATTTGATCTATTTTTTGGCCATCTTTTTCATTCATTTTGGTTGTTGATTGCCTGGTTATCATTTCATTTTTTCTGGCTGTCAGTTTATTTCATTTCATTTCAATTCTATTCTTCTTTGAAAAAATGAAGAAAATTTTTTCTACGAAATTGATGTGCACGTTTCATCTTTATTATATGTTTATTACTTTTTTTTTTTTGAAAACCGATTGATGCTAACATCTTATTTATCCATTCATTTTATAAATCTGTCATTTTGTTTTATTCATTCATTTCTATCTCTATCTCTATCTAACTATCGATTGTATCGATCTGTTGTTATTATTATTTTTTTCTGGTGATGGTGGTAGTTACATTTATTTTCTTCAAATGTCAGTTCTGATGATGATTATGATTATTATATAAAAACCATCTGAAAAAAACATGATGATTATCATCATCTTTATCATATTTTTGACTCTTTTTTTAAAACATTGTGTAAAAGGCTTCTGTGTTCATCATAATCATCAATTTTTTCGTTGTTTGGTGATGGTCATTCGTTTCCTGATTTATTTAAAGTTTTGATGAAAAGAGAGAGATGAAAATATGATGAAATTATCAATCGAATAATATCGTGATCGGTTGTAGAAAGAAAAAATCATTCGAATAACCAAAACAACCCGAAAAAAAAGATTAAGATATTTCAGAAATCAGTGAATGAAAAACAACAACGAAAAAAATTTTTTACATTTTTTTTCTGGGTGAAAAAAACGCAACTTTTGTCAGAACAGAGAAACAAAAATCCTGTCAGAGATTATCTCCTGATGATGATTTTTAGCATCAGGTTAATTTAAGTTATTCTTTGAAAATTTGTTGTTGTTGTTGAATAACAACAACAAATAAACAATCATGAATTTCGTTTGTTGTTCGTTCGTTCGGTAAATCTTAGTCACGAAAAAAATGCTTTTTTTTCCGAATGAAAATTAAAGATTTTTTTTTGCTGGTGGTGAATGGTGGTGAATATTTTTTTTCGGATAATAAATTCATCAATCGAAACAAAATTTGACCTGACTTGTTGAAAAAAAACTAATTATTCGTTTCTGTTGTGGTTATGGTTAGGTTATTTGGTCAATTTGGTCAAACACGACCAAATTAGTTTAGTTCAGTGTTGACACATTGACCATGGGTGATGTAATAATAATGATGCGGATAGTAGTTTTTGTTTTTTTGGATGCTAGTAGTGTAGTGGTGGGTGAAGTATCTTGTCATCATCATCGAAAATCGATGATTAAATGATATTTTGAAGATTTTTTCCACCAAAATACTTGATGATTATGATGACATCATTGAATTGATGAATAATGATTGGTTTTTTGTTGTTGTTTTTTGTTTGAAAATTTCTTTTTTTTAACCAAAAAAATTTTTCTTTTCTTCTTTTTCCATAAATACAGGTTTGTTTTGTTTGGAAACAATCATCATCATCATCATCAATCGATAATCTGAATTCTGGAAAATCACGATGAAAAATGAAAAATCAAAATGATAAAATGAAAATTCAACAATGAAAAAGTGTTAAATGGTTCCGTTTAAAGTCAAATCAAATTTTCTTCTTCTCTGTGTTTGTTTGTTTAGCATCATCATCAAAGGTTAATCATCATAATTGCCAATAAATCTGATTAATGTTTTTCATTCATCAAACAAGAAAATTCAGTTTTTTTTGTGTCCAAATATTTTGTCCGGTTTGTTTGTTCAAAGTGTGTGCGCCATTGATTGATCGACGTTTTGTTGAATTAGAAATCAAAATCCAATTTCTTGAGGAAAATCCTGGTTACCTTGTGTGTGTGACTGTTATGGTTTGTTTTTCTTTTCATTTCAAACAATAATTGCTCAATCATCAACATAATCAACAAAAATATCGACCGAAAATCCGGTATAATTTTTTTTGTTAATCTTGAAGAATAACTTTGAAATTTCGAAAATCTATAAATCATCATTGAGTTGGGTTGAACAAAATCCATAAACAAAATCTTTCTTATTGTGAAAAAATAATGGAAATTTTCTCCAAGCATCTTCATCAATAATCATCATCATTTGATTCGGATCCTTGACAACAACAACCAGATTCACATATCGTACGACAAAGTTTTGGTTTGTCCGAATTGAAAAAAAAACGTATTTAAAAAAAAATTTGGGTTAATTTTCTGTTCTCTAATCACCAAGAAAGATTCCTGGTACGTGTATCATACGTGTTGATTTTTTTTGTCCATCGATCAAACGCATGTACCAATAATAACAACAACAACATCCCAAAAATAGTGCCAAACACTGAAAAAAACCAGAAAAGAAAAAGCAAAACAAAAAAAAAATTGGAGAAAAAAAAATTGAAAATCCTATCTTTGTTGGTAATGTGCGTGTGAAAAAAAAAATCAATCAGAAGAAGAAAGCAAAAAAAAAATTCAATCAAAATTCACTGGAAATAAAAAAAATTCAATAACAACAACAACGAAATAAGAACATTTTCATTTTGTTTGGTTTGAAAAAAAAGACGTGTTCTGATTTTTGTGGTTTGGGTGCAAAAATTTATAAAGAAAATTGATATAAATCAATCAATTGATCGAATCAATAATCAAATATAGCAACAATATTTAATCATTTCACAAATTTGATTTCTTTGGAAAAATTTTTTTATTTTCTTGATTTCGTCCACATTGAACATTGAATTTTTTTTTGAAAAAAAATTAACAGAGTTACAGTTTTGTTTCAAAAAAAACAACAACAACAACATCCATATATCAATCAATCGATCAAATCAATCGATCGATCGTTTTTCTGATCAATCATCAATCAAAATTAATATTAAAATCATCATTGAGAGAAGAAATGAAAATCTAAATTTTACCACATCAAAAATAGGATTAAATTTAACGAAAAAAAAAAATCAAACTGAACTTTGATCATTTTTTTTTCATTTCCATTTCAATCATTTTTCAACACTGTATTTTATTTTCTGAAAAATAAGATTAAAAAAAAATCAATGAAAAAATTTTTTCAACAAAAAAAAAAGAAAAAGAAAAAAGATTCATTTCGCTGGCCTACACTTGTGAACGCACACACTCCTTAAATGCAAAATACATCTTTTGAAGGATAAACGAAACGAAAATCCGATGTTGTCAAAAATCGATTTGAAAAAATTATTTATTTATTGAATTTCAAATTCTCCTTCTTTTTCTTCTTGCTGTTCGAGCACTTTAATTCGATGAAATTGAGATCAACTGGAAACGAGCAAGAAAAGAAGAAAAAAATTGCCATTTTTTTCAATCAAAAATCAAAAAAAAGATTTCAAGGTTATTTTAAACACACATTCATTCAATAATTATTGTGAAATTTGATGCAAACAAAACGAAAAAAAAAAACGAAATTGCTTCCCCATCATCATCAATAATAGGGGTTTCACACTACAGCAATATTTCATGAAATATATACACGAAAATATTTCAGCCCATAAGGTTGAAATGGACTGAAATATTGCATTTGAAATATTTCATTCACATTGCTGCTAGTGTGAAACCCCTATAATAATAATAATTTTTCCACAAACAAACATTGTTAATAAACTAAATCAGCCGTCAGCAAAATAGATTCATTTGAATTGATCAATTTGAATATTTGATATCTTGAAATTTGAAAAACGCAAAAAAAAAACGTAACAAAAATCTTTAAATAAAATTTCTGATTGATTGGAATCAAATATTGATTGAAAAAAAAATTTGGAAAATTGATTTGTTGATTATCGATAAGAGAAAATCAATCTTCAAAATCATCCACATTTGCTTCAGACGTGTTATTTGATTAGCAAATCCGAAAATAAGAAGCACAATTGAATTTGATACAATTTTTTTCTTTTACAAGGAAGAAATAATTTTACAAACAAATAAAAATTTGATAACCGCAAACAACAATTGAAAAACGCCAACCAAATGTTTCTCTAGTCTTTCTGGTTTCATTTCATTTTGTATTTTTGATTTTTTGTTACCGCACACACACACTGAATTCATATTGAATTTCTTCTTGTTCAACATCCTCGATTGATTGATTGAAACGTCTTCGACTTCATCATTGACGAAACTCCGAGTAGCAACCGCTAAACCAATAATAATCTTGTAAAATTTAAAATTCATGAAAAAGTTGATGAAAAAAACCAAGCAAAATTATCACCGTTTTGATAAGAAAATTTCCTGGAAATCAGAAAAATTTTCCTGAAAACACTTTTCACACACACAATAATCAATTTGATAATTATAATTAAATGACGAACCAAATCAAAAAAAGAAAATTTGTTTATCAAATCATCATCATTGAGAAAATAAAAAAAATCGCTTATCGCAAATGAAAAAAAAATGAAAAAACAACAACAAAAATGAACCGAAAAATTTCATTGATACCAATTTGATTGATTTTTTTTTCATTTTTTTTAAAAGTTTCTTCTCATCAATTTCTTCTTCGTTCAACATATAAATTGATGAAATAATTTCATTTCGAATCAAAGAAAAATAAAAATCTTCATTTTTTCTGTTTGTTTATAAATTACAAACATAAAAACATAATAATAATTGAAACGTAAATCAAAAATTTTAAATAATAATAACCGAAAATCAAAATAAAATAGTGATCATCATCATCATCATAATCATTTATTAATCTCATTTTAATCTACAACCATATTAATCGATAATCCATAATCAAATTCTTCAAATTTTGGGCAATTTTTTCATCATTTGTTTGTTTGTTTGTTTCATTTTCTCTCTTTCACTCAATCTTGATCTGATCATCATCAAATGTGTTTTATATTTAACAACAACAAAATTGAACAATCATCATCGTCGTTATACCGTATAATAATAATAATAATAAGATGATCATGATGATGGATTCTATGGATCCTACACAATTAGCACAATTACCATCATCATCATCACCTACGACTTCGACAATGATACAACATAATAGTAATAATAATAATGATTCGGATGATACAATTTCTACCGTACCGTTACCACCACCACAACCTCCACCTTCATCTTGTCATTATGATTCTCAACCAAATGATTTAATCATTCCACAACAACAACAATCTAGTGCCAACAACAACAACAATAATAACAAAGATAAAATGCCAATTTCTTCCGCTATTTCGACAGTAACGACAAATTCTAAGTCATCATCATCATCAGCAGCAGCGATTGATTCGAATATTGAACAATCATCATCCACATCCACATCATTAAATCAAACAAACGATATGGCAAATCGTTTAGCTAAAATTCTTACCTGTTTACAAGGTGCTATTGGTGGTGGTGGTGATGAAAATTTACTGCAACAAAGTCAATTATTAGTTGCAGCAATGGCAGCAACAATGGCTGCTGCAGCAACCGGAACTGGAACTAATAATGAACAACCAGAACAATTATTAGCATCAATGGCACCAGCATTGATTAATTTGGTTAATAATACTGCTACCGCTACCTCTAATACTAACGCAACAACAACAACCAATTCACGACGATCATCAAATTCATCCGCATCCGCATCCATATCTGCAACCGGATCATCAAATAATGATAGTCATGATGACGATGATGATGATGATGATGAAAATTCCAATCAAAAATCATTACTAAATCAAATTAATAATGATACCTGTAGTAAAAAACGACGTAAACAAAGTAAACCATTACGTTATGAATATGGTAGTAGTAGTAGTAAAAATTTTTTAACAACCGCAACAAGTAGTGATAATCAAGATCATGATCATCTTGATCATCATCATCATCATCATCAAGATGATGATAATCGTCGTAGAAAAATTCGTCATCGTAATGAAATAACAACGATCAAACAACAGCAGCAACAACATATCAATTCAATGTTGAATGTCGATGTTGATGATGATGGTGACAATTTGCTATTGCCACCACCACCGCCACCAATGCTGAATAAACATCATTCAAAACAAACGAAAGAGAAATTATTATTAATTTCAGCAAATAAAGAGCAACAACAGCAACGAATAAAATTAAAGCAACAACGGCATTCCCAACATAATAAGCCAAAGCAGAAGCCTGTTTCAGATTTAGAAGAGAACTTTGATGATGATGATGATGTTGAAGATTTAGTTGATGAAATAGTCGACGATGATGATGATGACGATGACGACGATGTTGTTGATGATGATGAAAGAGACAGCAACCATGATGCTAATGAAGACGACGACGACGACAACGATCATCATAGTAGTCGTAGCCATCGATTGGAACAAGTCGTTGATTCAGTCAAAATAGTCAACAAAACAGCAGCAGCAGCAGCAGCTAAAAAATTATCATCAAAAAATGTTATCATCAACAACGTTGATGATGATTTAAATGCGGCATCAATAGCGGCAGCAGCAGCTGAAATGATGATGATGACCAGAGAAAAATTAAATAATAATGATAATGATCAACAACAACAACAACAGCAGCTGCAATTTTTACAACAATTTGAAATGTTTGCTAATGGTTGTTGGTCGCCATCATCATCATCATCATTATCGCTGAATCAAAAATCATCAACATCAACATTTATTTGTCCACAATGTAATGATCCATTTACGAATGAAAATCAATTACGTGATCATATTGATCTCGAACATATGCAGCAGCAACATAAATTTCCGCATCCATCATCATTATCACCATTATTGTCGAATAATTCCGTTGGTTTTACCGGTAAGTTACTTTAAAATTTAAAAATTTTCAAAAATTATTTACGAAATTCAAATCAAATAGCCGAACATCACAAACGACAACATAAACGTAAACGTTCACCATCAAATCAATCAATTTGTTCAACAAATTCATCAAATAATGGTGGTGCAAGTGCAAGTGCGAGTGTTGATGATGCAAATATTTTACCAAGTGATTCATCAATTCATGGTGATAATAGTGATCATCATCATCAACAACATAATCGACGTAAATCTCCAACATTCTATGACCATCATCAAGATGATCATCATCATAAATCAACAGCAGCAACAACAACAACCACCTCGACGACAACAACAACAACAAATTCAAATCAACAACAACAACAATTTCGTTGTACAAAAGAAGATTTAAATCTTTTAAATTTATCAATAAATCCATTAATATCATTATCGAATCAAACCGGTAGTAGTAATAATAATAATTGTGGTAGTGGTATTAGTAATAATAATAATAAATTATCTCATCGTCATTCATCATCATCATCATCATCACCATTATCATCGCAACAGCAGCAGCAACAATTTCAATCATCAACAAGAATTCCATCATCATCATTATCACCGGAACCAAAAATTTCAAGAACAACATCCGAATCACCAATTGGTGGCAGTGGTAGTTGTGGTGCGGGTGGAAATAGACAACAATCACCGGGTTTAATCAATAATCATCAACAACAACAACAACAACAGTCGTTATTTACAAATTCAATGGCACCATTCTTTTTTTCACATATGTTTCCTGGTAGTGGTGGCCCGGGTGGTGGCCCAAATCAACCATTTTCACCAACAACAGCAGCAATGTCGAATGCAATTTTAAATGGCCTACCAGTTATTGGTACACATTCTGGTCCAAGAATTTTTAATCCTGAAGCATATTGTGAATTATGTAATAAAGAATTTTGCAATAAATATTTTCTTAAAACACATAAAGCTAATAAACATAATATTTATACACCTGAAACAAGTAATAATAATAATCCATCAGGTAGTTCATCTACCAATAATAATCAAAATAACCAAAATCAAAATAGTAACGGTAGTAATAGTGGTCAACAACAATCCCAACAACAGCAACAGTCATTATTTCCGTTACCAGCTACCTCGAAAAGTAATTCTAGTGCCATGATATCAACACCATCAACAACAACGACAACAACATCGACATCAACATCGGCAACAACAAATCAATCAATGAAATTATCTGATCATCATATGAATAGTGGTCTTTTGAATGGTATGCATCATCATCAACATCAAACATTACAACCGCCATTTCAACCACCATTACGTTTAAGTTTAAATATGAATATGATAAATTTAGATTCATTTTGTGAAATATGTCAAAAAGAATTTTGTAATAAATATTTTCTAAAAAAACATAAACAACGTACACATGGTTTTATTTATCAAGGTGATACACCCATTCCACCTAGTCATAATTCACCACAAATGCAACAATTACAACAATTACAATTATTACATCAACAATTAGCAGCGCAACATCATCAACAACAACAATATGTTAATAATCAACAACAACAACAACAATCAAATAATAATAATAATAATGGTGATAATTCTGGCGATAATAAAACATCCGTTACAGGAGGAAGATTATCAACTAGTCCATCACCTTCATCTGGTCATCATCAACCGCATTCGCATCATCATTCATCATTATCACCATCACCATCATCATTGACGGATAAGTCAATTTTAATGGTAAGTAATTTTTTTACTTTCCTTGGTGATGTTATCCTGACCTTGACTTGTATTTCCTGATCGAAAATTTCATTTTCCTGTTTTGTTTTTTTTCTTGTGTCTTCCCTGTTCTACAGAATTCCAATCCAGTCACATCATCTATGAATACGGGTATTTCAACGAATGAATCGACAGCGACAACAGCAACAACAAGTCCAATTGGTCTGCCCGGTTTTCCTCACACTACAGCAAATCCTACACAACTTTTATTAACACCCGAACGTTTAAGACAGATGGGCGTTATAAATACTGAAGCATTTTGTGAAATTTGTTGTAAAGAATTTTGTAATAAATATTTTTTACGTACACATAAAATTAATAAACACCGGATTTCGGAAAATGGACAACCAGTGATTGGAAAATATCCAAATCATCAACCGCTATCAGCATTCAATCAATCGATGGCTAATGAATTTATTGCTGCACGGCAGCAGATGTTTGGTATTGGTGGTGGTGGTTCGCCGTCAGCGACCTCTATGGCCAATAATTTTCCCGGTATGTTTGCCAATGCCAATATCAATAATGCGACGGCTACAACAAATGATAATGATGATGATGATGATGATAATAATCAACTTGAACCTGGACAACGTGATCCAACTAGTTATGGTAAAAATGGTAATAATTTTTTAGATGGTTTTGCATCATTTATGGCCAATAATATTCATTATAACAACAACAATCTTAATAACAACAACAACAACAATTCATCATTGATTGATGGCCAAACGACAAATCAAATGATAAAATGTAAACATTGTCAACAAAAATTTCATAATAATCATTTATTGAAAATGCATAAATTCTATGCACATAATATACCATTCAATCATACGGATGATCAAGATGATCTCGACGGTGATGGTCAAGACCGGGTTAAAATTGATTCAAAGCAAGATTCTAAATCATCTGATTTAACAGATTTACGAAAAAAATCAATCAAAAAAGATGATAATGATGAAATGAAACAAGAAGAAGAAGATGATGAGGAAGAAGAAAAAGCAATTCTTGTTGAATCTGATATTACTGAATGTGTGGATGATGATGATGATTCGAATGATTCGAATGATGGTGATGAACAAATGAAAAATCACCGGAAAAATTCAGAATCATTAACCCTTAATGATCATCATCACCAGAATCAAACAAATGAAAATGATTTAGAAAAACTACATTCAATGATTAAAGAATTGGATGATTCAAATGAACAACAACAACTAATGATGATTGATAAAAGTGTTAATGATAATGATGATTGTGAAATGATGTTAAGTGATCAACAACAACAACAACAACAACAACAAAGAGAACGACAACAACAAAAATGTAAATTATGTAAATTTCAATGTAATAATCAATATATATTTCGTGCACATTTGATTACTGAACATGGTTTAGGCAGTGTTAGTGGCGATGAAACAACATTTTTACAACAATTTATTGATTATCATCAAACATCACCTGCATTGAAATCATTATCATCATCGTTTGAACAACGGGAAAAATTTCCAATTGACAATGTTGTTGATGATGAACAACGTGAACATGAACAAAGTGAACTTGAACAACAACAAAAATCCGAAATATTTTGTAATATTTGTATGAAAGAATTTTGTAGTAAATATTTTCTACAAATACATCGACAAAATATTCATGGAATTTTTAATGATGATAATATCAGTGATTCACCACCTCAGCCACAATTATCACCATCATCAAATCATCAATCGACAACAACAACGACAAGCGAAACAACAACAACAACAACAACAACGACGACTAAATCAACAACATCGACGACAAATTCATCATTTTTATCACCAGCATTATTGAATTCATTTTATCAACAAGCAGGAATGAAAACCTCATCGGAATCATCGTCGGAATTGGAAAATTTAAATCTTGCTTTAAGTCAGGTTTTTGGTCGTCGAATAAAATCCGAACGATCATCATCATCACCACGGTCAAATTCATCATCATCATCGCCATCACCAAGACCCGATCAAAAGACAAAAACGAATAGCAATTCGGAAACCAACAACAACAACAACAACAATGATAACGATAATGAAATGATGAAATTTTCTGAAAACGAAGATGGTGATGATGATGATAATGTAACAACATTGGCTGAAACAATAAAAGCAGCAATGGTAGCTGGTTTTGTACCCGGTACATTTGGTGTTAATAGTGGCGGTGATCATCATCATCATCATTCGGGACAATTAAAAAATCGTTCAAATTCAATAATAACCGGCCGAAATTATTGTAATTTTTGTAATAAAGAATTATGTAATAAATATTTTATGAAAACACATATGCTTAAAATGCATGGTATTAATATTGATGAACATCCAATTGAAGCAACTTCAAATAGTACGATTGGTGGTGTACAATGTGATATTTGTCAAAAAGAATTATGTAGTAAATATTTTTTAAAAGTACATAAACAAAATACACATGGTATTTATGAAGATGGTAGTGCACCAATATTACTTGGACCAACATCATCAGCAGTATTTCATCATCAAGCTAATAAATTAATGATGTCACAGGTAGCTGCGAATTTATTCAATAATAATAACAATAATGGCAATGGTAATAATAATGTAACGAATGAACGTATTGTTAACCCTTTACTATTCATGTCATCATTGGCATCAATGAATGATACAAATAGTATGGCAAGCGATTCAAATAGTATTGGTTCAATGAATAGTGATACAAAACCTGATCAACAACAGCATCAACGTGATCAACAACATTCACCATCACAGCAACAACAAGATGATCATAATAATTCGACGACAGGTAATAAGTCAAGTGGTAGTACGGGTTATCAAGAAATTTGTCATATTTGTGATCGTCGTTTTAAATCAATAAAATGGCTTAAAGCACATATGTTTAATGATCATGGTGAATTATTAGCTATTATGAATCGTAATGATTTTCAATCATCTTCGATGTTTAATTCCAGTGGTGATTATCGTCTTTGTTTTGTTTGTGGACAAACATTTTCGGATATTTTATCAATGCAAATGCATCTAATGAAAGAACATAAAATATCACCCGAAGAAATGGCTATAAATTTAGCTGGTAATTTTAAAATGGCTGCTATGATGGCTGCTGCTGCTGCAGCAGCAGCTGCTAATGCTAACGCATCCGTCACTGATTCAAAAAATGCTACCGATTCAAATATCTATCCCGATTTATCATCAATGAATTTGGATAATAATAATTTAACAACATCATCATCAACATCGACAACTGATCATCATCATCATCCGCATCAGCATCATCATCAGGAACCAATATCATCATCAACACCGCCACTACCACTGCCACCACCATCATCATCATCACCATATCCGGATATAATGACAAAAGAAAAAGATTTTGATGATGATTGTTTGATGCCAAACAACAACGATAACAATGTTGGTAGTAATAATAATAATCCATTATCATTTCTACAGAATCCAGCATTTCAAAATCTTTTGCTAAAGAATCCAGGATTATTGGCTGCAGCAGCAGCAGCTGCTGCTGCTGCTTCTTCTTCCACTTCCACTACTGCCAATCAATCGGATCAATTATTATCGACAATATTCGGTGCAATCACTGGTAGTGGTGGTGGTGGTATGATGAATGAAAAATCAAATAATAATAATAATTCTAGTCCAATTGAATCACCATTGATTGATTTTAATACCGGTGTTAGTGGTGATAATGGTGGTGTTAATGAAAAAGTAACTCAGCTGAAAAAATTTACCTGTCCACAATGTAATCGTAGTTATCGTCATTCACATTCATTACATCGTCATATGTTGATTCATACGAAAACAGCTAAATCATCGCCACCACCAGTATCGCAAGAAACATCATCTTCAAACATCCATAATAACCAAATAGATAATGATAATAAACCAAGAAACAAAAGATATCGTTGTTCAAAATGTAATAAAAAATTTCGTACACGTGAATTATGTTTATATCATATACGTATGTTTCATCAGAATAATTGTAAAACATCATCGACAACAACGGTGGTAAATAATCTTGATAATAATAAATCAATGAAAAAACGTAATACCATCAATGAAAATGTACAACGATCACCATCAAGTGATGATGATTTTGGTCATCATCGTCGAGATTTACCATTAAATCTACAAACGGCCAGCGATGATATTGATGATAGTGATCGATTGTTTGATGATCCTGCGATTGATAATCATGATGATAATAGCAATAATGATAATAATATCACCCAACAACAACAAAATTCTGATGATGATGATGATGATGTTACGACTGAAGAAAATGATGACCAAGATGATGTTACCGATTCATCATTATCAACAACAACTACTGGACAAAAATCATTGGTAAGTTGATTGATTTTAAATTTTTTCCAAAAAAATCGATATCTAATCAATCAATTTTTCTTCAATATTTTTCTGTTTTCTTCATCATCTGATAGATCTGTGTGAATGGTACGGAATAATCAACCAAATTTTTCATCGATGATTTTTTTTTCGAAATCAATTCAACAAAAACATTCCTTTTTTTTGAAAAAAAATTCTTTCAAACACAGTATTCTTCATTCTCACTCAGTGTTTTGTTTTGTTTTGTTCATCATTCTCGTCCGAATTCAACAAGTCTTCTTCTTCAAAAGCGCACAAAATTCATTTTCACACGTTCCATCAACAGGACTGGATCTTTTTTTTAATCTCCCCCCTCTCTCTCTCTTCAATCACATGATGATAACGATATTCAAGGGACCAAAGATTTTCATCTGATTTTCCAAAAATCATCATCAGTGATTCAATGAATTCTCCCCGCTTCTTCCTCTTCTTCTTCACCTTCAAATCTTTGATTACAGCAACAAGATGAAATTGATTGATTGATTTGACTGACTGATGACAAAACTAAAGAAAAATTCCAATGTCTTTGACATTTTTGCTTGTTTGTTTGACTGTTTGCTGCCAATTTGTAAAACATCATCATCATCGAATGAATGAATATAGCACCTATACTGATAATCATCACCATATCCAATTCAATTCATTTCATTTGCTCATCATACGAAAATAATAACGAAAAGAAAATTAACAAAAATCAAATAAACTGACCTTAAACGTTAAAATAAGTATCACATTGCAAACAAACAAACAACTACAAAATGCTTTATGTAAATAGAGAAAGATAGATAAGGAAAGAGATGCATCAAATCATCATCAAATTGCATCTTTTTCAATCCTAAAATACAAACAAGTATCCGCATCAATTTGATTCTTTCAATCAAAAATAAAAAAACTTAAAAATTTTTTCAACAAAAATGTCGTCGTCCCGTTCACCAACAAACAGAAAAATCATTATCACCACCATCATCATCATCAAAATTTGTAACATCGTATCAAAAAAATCCTCAAAGATAAAGAGAGCCACACACACACATCGAGACATCAACAAGCTGCTGCTCCTTAACTTTTTATTATCATCGTCTTCGTTTCGACATGAAAAAAACATTTAGGAAAATTTTTTAATTAAATTTTAAAATGAAAAATAACGAAANTCTTTCAATCAAAAATAAAAAAAAAAACTTTGAAATTTTTTCAACAAAAAATATCGTCGTCGTCCCGTTCACCAACAAACAGAAAAATCATTATCACCACCATCATCATCATCAAAATTTGTAACATCGTATCAAAAAAATCCTCAAAGATAAAGAGAGCCACACACACACATCGAGACATCAACAAGCTGCTGCTCCTTAACTTTTTATTATCATCGTCTTCGTTTCGACATGAAAAAAACATTTAGGAAAATTTTTTAATTAAATTTTAAAATGAAAAATAACGAAACGATGAAAAATTAAATATCAATTAATTAAAGATGCATTTCACGATCTCATCATTATCATCAGCATTCCTTTTTTTTTTCTTGAATGACATTTTCTTTCTTAAATTGATGGTGACAATTTTGAAAAAAGAGAGGCTCGACAAACGACGACGAAGTCAACTTTTGGATCTGGATTGATCAAACCAGCGACGAATTCATCTTTTTCCCCTTGTAAAATTATTTCATTTTTGTTTGTTTTTTCCAATTTTTTCTTCTTTTGTTACAATTTTTTTTTTCATTTTTCTCTCTGTGTGTTTTCTTGATTACCTGATTGATTGATTGATTGATTGATTTTCACTTCATTTATTCTTATTTATTTATTTAACATCATCATCATCATCAACATCATTAACCATTAAGCATCATCCGCATCATCATCATTTTTTTTCTATTCAAACACACATTAACACGGCCATCCACACACACACACACACACTTCATTTTATTGATTTTTTAATTTAATTAACAAATTTTTTAATTCAATTAACGATAAACATGGCCATCACAAATAAATAAATAAATAATGTTCTCCTTGTAATCTCGATTGTAATCTGCTGCTGCTGCTGCTGCTGCTGCTAATACATCCATCATCATCATCATTATAAATATAGATTTTCAATTTTTAATTTAATTTAATTCAATAATGATTTTTTCTTGTTTCGACATTGAATCTCTCGCTTTCATTCATTTCATTTTATTTAAAACAAACAAACAAAAATCATTCTTTGTATGAATCGATTTTAATTATCAAGTCAAACAAAAAGCCACACTAATTATAATAATAATTTTCCACAAAAGTAAATAAAAATAAAAAAAATTTTGAAAAATTATAAAAAAAAACTTTGCCTCTTTTTTCTCATGAATTTTTAACTTTGAAAATTTTTTCATTTTAAAAAAAAAGTTTTTCCCACCATGTTTATCATTATCATCATCATTTCCGTTCACTGACCAAACAAACAAACTTATTCCTGGTTAATGATGTTGATGGTCAATCGTAATTCGAGCGTGGATTTTTTTGTTTCATTTTGCCACTGTGTCTATGTGTGTGTGTTGAGTGTGTGTGTGATCAACTGACCGAAACATCTTGGTTGGAAGAACGCCTTGTTTTTCTCACTAGTAGTTTCTTTTCTTCTAAACATCTTCGTCATTATCAACTGGACCGTAAAAATTCGTGTGAAAAAATATGAATGAATAAAGATGGCTGGCTGGTTGGTTATCATCATTTTTCTGTTTTACATTTGAAAAATTTTGACAAAAAATTTTAAAAAAATCTGGATGGATGGATGGATGGATGGATAGCCTGGACAAACTGGACAATCTCGAAAAAAATGAAAACATTTTTTTGAAAAATTTGATTCAAATTTAAACGATGATTACACTGGCAACAAACAAACGGCAATTGACCTTAATTATTCGTTTTTTCTACTTTCCAAAATTTTTTAATCTATTTTGATTGAAAAATTAGTTTTTTTTTTAATTTTCATTCTCGTGATCATATCCTTAAATGGTGATGTTAAATCAACCAAGCAAACAAAACAAAACAAACAGGATAGATTAAAAACCAATTGATTTCGGATTTGATTGATTGATTGGGATTCGGATTTGAAAATTCGTGTTGAATGTATTTATTTTTTCGAAATTTAAAAAAAAAATCCTTCTTTCATCTTTGAATCCGGTATCCACATTCCGTTTATCCGTTTCAGGTTAAGTTAACCATGACTATGACTGTCGCTATGCTGTGAACACAAGCCATTTCTGAATGAATATTTGGTTGTAGATAAGAATATTGTTCGTAAAACCAAACCCAATCCATCATTTATCGAATAAATATCCAATTTTGTTTTTTTTTTCCTTCAAATTTCATATTTAAACGATCACCCTTAAATATCATTTGAATAGCAACAAAATATCCAAAAAAAAGTAAATCAAAATCGATCAATCGATTTTGATCAATCTTTTCTCGTTTATTTTGGGTGTTGGTTTGAAATTTTTTGGTTCATTTTTCAGTTTTTTTCATTTGACAAAAATGAAAAATTAAATTTTTCCTTGTTTGAAAAAAATGAAAATGTAAAAATCCTAATCACGACATTTTCATTCATTTTTACAAAAATGGGTTTTTTTCAAAACAAAAATCATGTCAAGCCCGAATGAATCTTCTTCTTCTTCTTCATCGTCGCTTGTCGTTGTTGTTGGATCAATGATAAACACACGCCACACGCAACAGAATATGATGATGAACAAACAAACCAAGTCAAAAATGTCATATTAATAATTGAAAATTGCAAAAAAAAGTGAAAAAACTCTGAAAATTCATGAAATTTTGTCGAAATTTTCGTTTTCTGGGTTCAGCCCTGATTCAAATAAAGTTATCATCCTAATAATAATCATCGTCAATGAAAAAAGTTATTAAAATTTTCTGGGAGAAAAGAAAATCTGAATGAACACTGAACACACTGGAATATCCATTGGATGCTTTCAACTCTTTTTTGTTGTTGTTGTTGTTGCTTTTATTCAACAACAACAACAACAACAACAACAAAAAACTCGATCAACAACAACAACAACAATGATGATGAATTAGTTTTTAAAGGAAATAATATCGATATGCGTTGATTGCTTTTCAATGATGATGATGATGATGAATTTTTTTCCATTATAATTTATCTCTATTCATCTTTTTTGACCAAAAATCATATATAATTAATCAAAATTGATTAGGTTTTTTTTTTTTTTTTTTTTGGTTGATTTTGACTAAAAAAAAATGATTTTTTTCGTTTCATTTAACTATTTTATTAAATAATTTTGTTTTTTCGATGATTTTCATCGTTGAATTCTTTCACTGGATGATGATGGATTTTGCCCAAGTTTGATTTCAAAGATTATTGTTGTTGTTGTTGTTGTTGTTGTCGGGAGAAAAAAAAACTTGATCTGATTTTTGACTTTTTTTTTATTATTATAATCAAAGAAATGATGTTGGCGATGAAATTAAATGGAAATTTTCATTTTTTTTAATTGTATTGGTCAGGAATATATAAAGAGGAGATTAATGAATTGTTCGTCATCATCCGCATCAATTTTGGTTAATTTTTTTCTTTTTGTTTTTTGTTTAATTAAAATATTTTTCGTTTCAGGTAATTAACTTTTGTTGTTGTTGTTTTTTAATTATCAGTCTTCCTTCCCCCTTCGTGGTTATCGATGATGATTACGATTGAAAATCGATTATCACCCAATCGATTTCTTTTTGGGCTTTCTCAATTGATTATATTCACCAGTGGTCAGTGGTAATCTGTCTGTCAATAATGTCATGGCACAAACAACCATTGTGGTTTTGAATTTCAAATTTTTTTTTGATACAATTTTTTTAATCATCGGAAATCTCT